TTTTAAAGTATGGGATTTTAATATGATGACATTTTTACTATTACTATTCGGTTTATCGTGATTTGATTTTTAAGATATGTTTTAAATTAATTTATTACTTATTGGTATTATATTTACAAGTTAGGTTTTGATAGTATGATTTATTATAATTTCATGTCATTTATAATGTGATTTTACATTGTTTGAATAACGGTTTCGGAAAAAAATGTCTTAAAGAATCATAATGTGATCCACTAGACTTAGTCGAAACGCATAGGCCGGGTCTAGGGGTTACAAAAATATTCAAAATCCGAAATTATAGATAAACAAGTTTATTTACCATAATCAATCTCTTAATTTTAGTAACAAGATTCTTATGTTGCGTGACACTATACCCGTACACTACAAAGGTCCCTCTTTGTACGGCAAATTATTCATTGTTGGGACTCCTCCAGTTCCTGTGGAACCCATCCTAGAACTCTTGCCAGCCACTAATCATCATTATCATCGTCGACGTCACTAATCTCCCCTTCATTGCAGCCGTCCATTTACTTTTCTTCTTCTCCTCCTACAGCATTATTGGTTAACTCATTCTGGTTAAGTACTTCCCGTTGGGTGCCACGAATACAATGCCAGCCATCCGGTGGACCAGGAGTCAGACATTGAAGCCTGCGATATCTGATTTACAGCTCTCACTGTTAACGTAATTGATGGTAAAGAACAAAAGAGACGATGAAGGTGACGACAAAGTTGTTGTCGATAAGCCTTGTAAAACCATACATTATCAACCTCCAGTTTCGCTTCTTCGAGCAAGCCCTCATTGGAGAACTTGCTTTCATCGTCAAAGCCCGTTAGAAAAAGGCAAAATCTCCAAAAGTTCAGACTCCGGCAACTTCAATTCTTCTTCTTTTCGCCTTAACATCATATTTTAGTTTCAGGAGCTACACCAAACTATTACTTCTTTACTCTTTTTTTTATAGGAACTATTACTTCTTTTCTATTTTCTATTTTGATCTTCGAATTAATTTTCTTTAAAATATGTCACTAAAATTAATTTCTTGTAGTATCTTTTAAGCTGTAAATGATATACTACATACCTTAAACCTTGGGAAGCCTCGAAAACAAGCATGAAAATTATACATCAAGAATACGAATCTGAATCTGAATCCAAATCCAAATATATATATCTATCAATTTGAGCACGATGAGTTGATATTTGTACCTCAAAGAAACCATATATGATAAAATGAATACAAAAACAACAATCTTATATTCAATATCTAATCTCTTCAAGAAGCTAACTAGTCCATAACCCTCTCTTTTTCTCTAATGCTTCTATATATAGCACAACAATCTTGCATATTGTCCAATAGAACCCATGAATATGATGATGTACATATCATTACCCCCCCCCCCCCCCAAAATTTCCGATAGCTTCAATGCAGCACGTGGCAAAAGAATAGAATGCTTGAACTAGTTTACCAGTAAGAAGAACACAACATTTATAGCATTCGGAGGTTGCTTTGAGAAACAACCCTACCTTGTGCGATCGAGATCCTGGCTAAATTCAAGCCAAAGAGGTATTATACGTCATCAGGTGGCAATGTTGGGCTTTTGGAGCACATTCCGATCTTGTGAAGCTCCCTAAGTTTGGTAGCTGGATTGCATAAACCTGAAAATCGACATCAGTTTATTCACCATAGAGATCAGACACGGATTATCGTGAACAGATTTCACAAAGCTATCTCATATTCTCATCTTAAGGCATAGCTTAAGCATTAGCCAAAGAGCAAGCTGAAAGTATTACAGTGCGCAACTTATCTAATAAACAGTGGAATCTGATAACATCCAGTCTCAAAAATCTACTAATTTCAAAGCACAAGGCCGCATTACAATGATGATATGAAGTTAAAGAAGCAAAGACGGAATTCAGGGCGTGAGCGAGAAAAATAAATGTGGAAATGTGCTTGAGGAACTAGATTTGTGTAATTGTGCATATATGAAACTTAGAAGGATACTAGCAGGAACTTGGCACAGTACGGGCAAATGCACAAATTCTAAGTCCATTTCCCTATGCCTGTGTCAGAGCTTTATAATGGAAGGAAAAGTAGAACAAGGAACAGGCAAATCATAAAAATTTCAAAAACACCCATGCACTCTTAAGAATTTATCACATCCTAACACCTCGTTAATATAGCATAACGGGGTTTATTACCATGGTCCTTTTACCTGAGCATCTTGGAATATCCCAGACTGCTATTGATGTAGGTGTACATCTAGGATCACATATTGCTCTATTATCTTCATGATGCACGTTCATGGCTAGCATCCATGATCCAATGGTGACATCCTCATTGTTGAACATCCTCAAACTGAAAGGTTGAAACCTCATTTTATAAAAGAATAACTACAAGAGGTGGAGAAAGGGAGAGCAATTGAGAGGTTATAGAGAAGAGAAACAATGAGGATAAAAACCATACAAATAAAACCAATAACAACTTTGATATTGTATATTATGGAGTCGGTCATTTCTATCAAGTATAAACGGAGTATGACAAAGTTATCAAAAATGCAGAAAAGGGATAATTAGAGCTATATGTGTTTGCAACATATCCTACTGTTTTGATTGAACTGATAGTTGCATAGCTTGTTCACTTTGCATTAGCCTTGCAACTATGAGAATCAATTTACTAAAACCAATTAAAATGAATGACCGAAGTCGGATTTGGTAAGAAGAAGTTGCAGTGTTTAACAGCTTGGTGATTCCCAACAAGTAGGAAAGTAGGGCATAAATGAGCTACAAGCTCAAGGAAATGCATTCTTTTATATTAAAAACTCATTATATCAAGCTCATGAATCATGATATTAGGTCAAAAAACAAATATCCAAGTTTCAAGGCAAACTATGAGAAGGCCGCCACTTATATTTCAGACACTAAATAGCAGCAACGACAATCATTCTAAGCATAATTCAATCGGGTGCATAAAAACAAAACACAGAACATATGCCTATGGCCGATTCGATTGGAAGAATGATCAAGATTCAAGAGTAAAAATAGCAATTTGAACCAAACTCAGATCGAAGGTAAACCTGTTATTCCTAGCAGCTGCCAATGAAGCCACCACCTCTGCAGAGAGAACATATATAGGACCATAAGCATGCAAGAAATACTCATTTCCAATCAGATGTCCTGATTTCTCATACCTGATAACTTATACTAATAAATCCTCCAACAATTTTACATATTTCAAGGTAGAATATGAATCATGAAATGAAAACATTCGTACCACTTCAATTTAGGATCAGTGATCACGGGTCCCTTCTTCATGCACCCAATGTAAGTCATCTTCTCCCTTCGTTCCTTAGCAAGAAGAGTCGCAAGCCGATCTAATGAAAGTAAAACAAAAAATTAACATCATATTCAACACATAAACACTCGAAATCACACTTTGGGATTTACCTGGACGCAAATAAATGTCATCATCAGCTTTGACATAATAATCTGCTTTGAATAGCATAAAAGCTGCTTTGAAGAATGCTAATCTGAAAAAGGGCAAAAAGAAAAAGATATACATATACATGATGATACAAGGCCATTGTCTACATTAATAAGCTGATGCTAAACATTAGCATATTATTTTCCTTACGTTTTGTAAGGAAGCTTAAGATATTCTTCTTCAACATCTATCAACATGAAATCTCTATACTTTTCAATCTCTTTCTCAAGCATTGCCATTTTCTTCGCATCTTTTGATTTCCCTATCACAAATTTGAAACCCAGACCGGTAGCTTGCTCCAGCCTTAATAAGAAAAACGTCAATTGTCAAAATTTTGATGAAACAAAAGAACCCACTTGGGAAAAATGTGAATTATACCTCAAAAGGCCCTCTGGATCGGAAGGGAACCAGGTGTTACGAAGGGCAGCTCGGCGTTCACCCGATTCGAACCCGGTTTGGATGCCGACAAACCCGAGAAGCTTGGGGCTATCAACCAAGCCTTTGCTACTGTCATCGCCGAGCTTTGCGAAATCTGAGGAAGAGTAAAAGGCTCGGAAAGTGTCCTCCGATTTACCACATCGGAAAACAGGTAAGGGCTGGTTGCGGCGGATGGTGGAGATTGCGAAGAGTGTGCCGGCGAGACCAATAAAGAGGCAGAGGAGTGAAAACACGAGAAGAGGCAAGGGAGTTCGACTTGAGGAAAATGAATAAAAGAGCTTCGATGGCTTGACGGGTTTGGAGGAGTAGAAGGAAGGGAGCGGAGCGCCGCCTGCGGAACCTCCGGATCCGGCGGAGAAGCGGTGGGAGCAAAGGGACATTTTCGGTGAATTATGGGCGGAAGGGTGTGAGAAAATAAAGTTAATTGGTAATGAAGAAAAAGATTTTTAACAGCAGTCACCCTCTGAGCTGAATAGTCGTGTACCAATGCAGGAGCAACAGCAGTCACTCACCGAGTTGAATAACTCTTGGTAGTTGCCAGTTTGTCTTTATTTTTCTTTTTCACCCATTTTTTCACCCTTCAGAGCTTCACTAACAAGTAACAATGTTAGACTTGTTTCGATCGTTTAAAATTGGTAGAATAACAAATCTAGCCCCTAGTATTTATTCCCCTTGTTATTTTGACCCTAACCTTCCATTTAGCCTTCAATCATAAAATTGGTAAAATTATTATAACAACCATTTTACTATGTATAATTTATGAATTTAATCTCTTATAGTCTAGTTTACTCATGTTTAGTCATTTACTTTTCAAATTTTATAAATCAAATTCTTACCCAAATAGTAATCATTAAATATGTTATGTTAAATTCTTCTAATAATCCATTTATCATGTATAAGTTGTAGCAAAGATTGAACCATCAAATTCTATTGAACATGGTGTATTACTGTCACATTACATATATAGAATTGCATCTTCTTTACAACAGGTAAGAAATGTGTGGAGCTTGGCAACATCTGTCTCTCTTTTTTTCTCCTATCCGTTGTGTAAGAAATGAACAAAGAAAAGGGTTTCATGGTTTGTGGTTGAATTGCAACACTAAATGCCCAAATGAAAGAACTAATAAACAACAGTCTTCTCTGTAGTTACTTCTTTTAGGCCCAGATGGCAAGGGCAGCCATCAAACCAGCTCCTAGGAACAGCATGAAGTAAGATACTACTTGAAGTCTAAAATTGCAGCTCATCCTCTTACTCAGAAAATCAGCAGCAATTAGATCCACTAATGCCATGTAAACTAGGATGCCGGCTGACAAAGAGTCTAGGATGCCTTCGGTAACCAGAGCTGCCGGGCTGTAAGGGTTGTAGAACGAAGCGACGCCAATCCCGATGCCGATTCCGGCCGGAGTCGTTGTGGCGAAGAAACATGCCATGATTGTGGCTGATAGGTTTTTGAATTGTGCTTGGGCGATGCAGCCTCCGAGGGCAAATCCTTCAAAGAATTGATGAAACGATAATGCCGCGATTAGAGGTCTTATTGTGCATGGACTCTGGGAAACACCCAGTGATAGGCCTATGATGACCGAGTGCGAAACAATTCCAAGCTCCAAAATCTGCAAAAGAATGGAACAAGAGACATTATAACCAATCAAAAAACTATTGTAAGGCATTGAATGGAACAATTTGTCACATTCAAATTAGAGAACAAACCTAAATGCTTATCAATAATGGAAAAGTTAATCACAGACAAGTCAGGCTGAATGAGACATGGATGATTGTTCAATCACAAAGAAAGATGTCAACGAACTAGAATGACATTAGAGAAACAAAGGGCAAAATCTTTTCCTAAACATCATTACTTTGGTAGGGAATTAACAAACATATACATCAGCACATGAGACAAAATTCATCGGTGAATGTTGTGAACAGTTCAATCTTTAAGTCACATAGCAAATGCATGTATTGATATAGTGGAAAAGCAACTCACTAGTATTCTACTAATTTTTGGTGGAACGACACTTTCAATTCAATTTTCTTCGTTCATACTGAAGAATTCGAACTAATAATTTTACTTAAAAAAACTTAAAGCTTCAATCCCACTAAATTAACAGGTTTCAAACTCGTAACTTTACTTAAAAGACCTAAAACTTCGTCTAGCTCGGCCAAAGTGAACAGATAATTGATTTATCATTAGATAATTGATTATCATTAGATAATTGATTTATCATCAACATTAATTTTTTTCCAATGACAAGTTGACACCAAACCAATAAAAGTACACTCAAACATCAACCTCTAAATTCTAACACCTTTTGCTAGTTGACTATCAAAAACAATCGAGGGTCCACCATTGATGCAAACGAATTCCACTGTGTTTGCTAAAGTATCTCACTCATATGGCGTCATTGATGGTAAATTTCAACTCGCCCCAAAGCTCAAGCAAAGCATAAATGGTACTTATTAACTCCAAGACAATACGTTTAAGTCGAAGAAATAAATTACCTGGGAAACCACGACGTGCCTTACGCTACTATCATCGTCCCCATGACCATGACCATGACCATGTCCATGTCCATGTCCATCATCATGATCATGTGGACGCTTCTTTAGCAATCCATCACATCCATCTTGTCCATGTGGATGACTATGCCTGTGATGTGCTGCATGCGCATGCATCCCCACGATGTGCATTCCCCCACCCTCTTCTTCCCCAAAAACTTTCCTAGCTCCATCCTTGTTATCCACAACTAGTACAATCCCGGTGTCTGAATCCGGATCCAACGATCCGACCCGAGCCTGTTCTTCAGTACTTGCTCGACCAATACCTTGTTTCCTCTCATAGTACTGAGTCCCCATAAAATCAACAAGCAGAGTGACTAAAGATGCAATCATCGCGAAGAAACCAGGGAATGGGAATTTGGACCAAGGGAATTTTGGCAAGCAAGGATCCGTGAGAGCTTTGGTACCACCAGCAAGCATGTGGACGAAGCCGGTGGCGAGGATCACGCCGGCCGCGAAGGCCTTTGCGGAGACGAAGAGGCTACCGTCTGTACGGAGGAACTTACGGTGCTTGCCGATGAGTGGGATACCGACGCCGACTACTCCGGCGAGGAGGATCGAGGCTATGGCTATGAGCTTTAACTGCAACGCCGCTGGTTCATCACGACAAGCCTCTAGCTCAGAGGATTGGCAGCTTGTGTTGCTCATTGAATCGATTATCGTTTGCGAAAAGGACTCTGTTTATTCAAACAAAGTGAAACAAATTTAAAAAGCATCAAAACTGATGAAACTTTGGGCATAATTGAACAATTTTGCAACTAAAATTGGGCTGAATTATAAAATCCCAGAACCCAAAAATCAATATTTTTTCGAAATTTAACCCATTCCCAATGTTCCGCACAGGCCAATAACATCATAAACAGAAAAAAAAAATAAGTATTAGAACTTACCTCGGAAAAGCGTACTGTTTGATCCAAAACGATCAAGTCGGAACAGCGGCAATATATCCTATAAAAAACCCAATAAACACCACGGATTAAGAAAACAACAAAAACCCAGAAACAGAAACAACATGATTTCAATCCCAAACAACTAACCTCAATGAAGAACATGAGAATAGAGAATCCAAAGCAAAGCAAGAGGCGGGTTTAATTTATACAAAAAGAGAGATAGAAAGAGGAAGAAATGAACGGAAAAGGGTTCTCCTTTTCGTTACTTTTTAGAACGACGAATCAAAGTGGGGAAGATGGAGGAAGAATCTTGGAAATATACGTATACATATGTATGTAAAAGATTGTGAGAAGATGATGGTGTTTGAAGCGGTGGTTATATATGGGGAAGCAGCAGCAGCACCGTAGGAGGGATGAGAAGACATACAGAAAAGAAAGCGAATCATAATAAGGAGAGAGTGTCGACATTGTTTGACGAAAAGCAGAGGCTAGAGCAAGAAGTGGCTTCCACAGCTGCGACCTTTTGTCAAAATATGAACTCCAATATGTCGACATTGTTTCTTCTAGTTGTTTTTGTTTCTCTCTCTCTCTCTCTCTTCCATGTTATCAATCAGTCATGTCAGGTTTAATTATGGATTTAGTGCTTTTATTATGATAAATTTTGATATTTCATCTTCTATTTTAATTTGATCCCTTTTTTATAGTGTTATTACTTATTAGAAGATTCAAATTTATAAGTCACCTTTACTTTTGAAAGGAAGATGTGAGTTTTTTCTTATAGCAGCTTTAAGTATACATGATCAGTAGTTAGACCACTTGCCTAAGTTCAAATGTTTGCATCAAACTTATGAGATTTGGGGTAAAAATATTAGACTTGAAAATAAGGACCGATTCAGAAATTTAGAGTATGAGGGGTAAAGATACATTTATAAAATTTTGGAGGGTCTAAATATTAAAATATATATTTTAAAGGATTTAAACTTAAAAATTAATTTTTGGTAGGGACAAAAGTACATTTTTCGCTTAATCAAATAATTGAAAGGCTTAAATGAAATGTTGAGTATTAGAAAGGGACTAAATATGAACATTTCCCATAAATAAAGCGTGTTGCGCCTCTTTCCGTCGTCTTTGCGAAAATGGAGTTCAAGATCCAATACTTGTACTCGTCACATGTTTGTAATATAATATTTTATTTTATACATATTATATGGTTTATATCACATAAAATTATTAGTTATTAAAATAAAAGTTTAAAATCACATAAATATTTATATAAGAAAACCAAAATAAAAATATTTAAAATTAACTTAAATTAATCGTTTATATATACGAGCGAGCTATGACAACTTCCAAAAACCTCATAGAATGTATGACATCGTTTGGGGAGACATAGCTAATAGCTTGCAGGTATGTATGGAGTTTGGAGAAGTCGCAGGGTCTTATATGAATGTTTTAGAAATCGCCAGGTGGTTTGGGTATTTTTTTTATAAATCACAAGATGATTTAAACGTCTTTTATAGGACTTTATATTATTCACACCGGATGAAAAAATAATTTTTTAATTTCTAATATAAGATAGTGTTCTTTAAATAGTATTTGAATAATTTTACTGGATTTAATTTTATAATTGAATAAAAATTGAAATTATATATTCGAAATATTTTTAATACGTGAAAAATAATATTAACAATATATATATATATAATTTTTTATTAATTGTGTTAAATTAGATAAAACATGATCAAATAATGCAAATCATAACACAGACATGAAAAGAGTTGTTGAAAACTGAAGATATTAATTCAATTAGATTAAAATTATATGTAGGTTTATCGTAGAGACGACCTTTTTAAATTCCTTTATTTATGATGTTAATATTAAAATTATTAATTTTACTTAGAGAAGCTAATTTCTCATAACATTCAACTAATTAACAATAAAAATATTTTTTTCCTAAATGAGTTAAAAATAATTAATAAAATTTTTTATTTAAATAATTCAAATTGCTTCAAATGGGAAGAACATGAAATTATATTTTATTTTCAATTATTAATGAACAATAATAGACTTGCCTGGGGACATCAAGTACTATATATAAATATATTCTTGCTTAAAACTTGGCTTTGGACCTCTCTTTATGGCTTCAAAAAGTACCAATGGCAATCCTTGGCTTGCTAGTTATGGAAGGTGTTTCCAAGACTATAATGTCACTTATACTCGCAAATATGCATATTAATTGTCATTACAACTATGCTTTTAAAAAATAAACAAGTACTTTATGCATATTATTACACTTATAAACTTAGATCTATATTCTTAGAGGTAAAATAATAATTTTTCATCCATTTTTTTTGAATAATTTAAAATAATTTTAAGATAATATTTATTTAGAATTTTTTTTATTGGTAAGATATACTCATCTTAACAATATAATTAGTCAAACATAAAATACTTCCACTTGAAAAACCATATCAGACCCTAAATGCTATCAGTGTCAGCCACTCAAGCTCCTTTAATGAGAGTACACTTCCACCGAGGCCAAACCAAATGAAGCCAACCCCATTTCCTTCTCTTTTGTCTGATTCCCATTGATCCATTCATCTCTCCAAGCACATGCACCTTTTCCAAATCCACACACACAGAAATAAACATATATATATAAACAATTTATTTTAAGTTGAGCTCTTGAGAAATATCAAAACTCAACCAATCACCACTTTACCCTTCGTCTTCCCTTATCTCTCTTTGTAAAACCAGAAACCAAAAGCCATGTTGGAAGAACCAATCCCCACAGTGCCATGTTCCATTTGGACATCGCTCCTCAGCTGGTTCACCCCAACCGTGTTCTTCGTCTTCCTCAACCTCACAATCGGTACCATTTATTTCACTTCCACTTTGACCTCCAACAAGAACGGCGGCGATGGCGGAAGACATGAACAAGACAATGAAACAAACCCAAAGCTTGTTAGATCTCCATCCGTCTTGCAGAGGTTGACATCGATCAACTTTTATGCTTATAGATCTCAAGAGCCTGTTGTTTCATACGAAAGAACACCGGATTTAAGTGATTTCCAGTTCTCTTTTCAACATCAAATCTCTCCGCATCAGCAACAGCAACAGAAACAGCAGCCACTGGATCGATCACCTTCGTTGCTGCAAAGGGTTAAGTCCATTAATCTCAAGAGTTACTTCACGCCGGAGAAAAACCATGAGAGTGTCTCTCATTATGCACCGGACGAGGTATCTGATGCAAAAGCGGAGGAACCGGATGCGACCCAAGGAGAAGGGCGGACGCTCGATGAAATCTACAGTCAGCTGAAGGTTGAAAATCATGTTTCGAGGACGAAATCAGATACCAAACCGGCATCCGGGGAGGTACCGACTAAGCTTCCGAGGAAGATGAAAAAATCCGCCAGCGTGAAGTCTGCTTTTCGGCATTTCGAGGAAGACAATATCTTGGAAGCTCGACGACCGGCCACTGTGAGGGTAGGGAAAGATAAAGCTACGGCGGAAGACGATGAAGTTGATGCCAGAGCGGACGATTTCATCAACAAGTTCAAGCAACAGCTCAAGTTACAAAAGCTTGACTCCATCATTAGGTATAAGGAGGCGGTTAATAGAGGAAGTGGAAGATGAAAAGTAAAAACAAAAATGAAAAAGCTTTAGATTTCCAATGTCCTTTTTTCTGTGTAAGGGCGTAGATCCCGTACTGGTATTGTCTCTCCAGAACTTTGTGCTTACCAAAAGAGAGAGAGAGAGAGAATGGCACCTTCAGTCCATAACTATTTCCTGGTTTCTAACCTCAAATTGGTTGAGTTTGATAAATCTTTAAACGGGTTAGAATTTCAAAATCTTACTGGTTATGCATTTATGATACTTAATGGGGTGATCTGTCATTTTCCATGCTTTTCATATCCATTGATGTTCACCATTGCCACTCATAGCATCAACCTTTTCCTAGCTGTTTTCTACTGGAACTATGTTGTTTTCTTCGTTAAATTACATTATTACTCGGTAAACTTTTAAGTTTTATATCAATTTTAGTAAATTTTTTTGAAGCATTTCAATTTAAACACTAAATTGTGATTTTAAGAATTTAAAAGACTTTCTTAATTTTAAGATGTTTATTTAGAAATATAAATGATAATAATTTTTTTTTAAAAAAATAATATATCTTAAAATTAATCTCATCTGGAGATCGTCAAAAGAGATGAAACATTCAAACATTGAAATAAAAAAGAATAAAAACAAATGAAATAAAAATGTTTTGGTATCAATATTATCACAAACTACAACTGTTAACGAAGGATAATTTATCAATAAAAATAATTACATAAGTTTATAATTTGAGAAAATCGCCTCAGTGACCAAAAATGTCTTATAATATACGATTTTAACCAACTATTTCCGGATTTGCCAAAATGACCAACAAAATCGCAATGCGATCGCTAATTCGCAACGCGATCTCCATTATCGCAAAATTCGCGTTGCATTTCGCGTTGCGATAGTTGGAAATCGCGTTGCGATGGTCTACAGTATCGTTGCGATTTTCCCAATTCGCAATGCGAATAAGTAAATCACAACGCGAATTGGGAAAATCGCAATGCGATACTGACTATCGCAATGCGATACTTACTATCGCAATGCGATAATACAAAATCGCAACGAGATACTGACTTTCGCAACGCGATTCTGACTTTCGCAACGCGATAATACATAATCGCAATGCGATTTTCAAAGCGCCATTAGTATCCTGACCAAGTATTTTATTTTTAAATTCCAAACACGAATATTAATATATTGGAACACTGAACCGTCCACAGTATATCCCGTAATCGCAACTCATAACCTAAAACCTAAAATCACAACTCAGTCCCATCTCCATCTCTCACTCTCACTCTCTCACCCATCTCCGACGAAATTCGTCCCCATCTCCGGCGAAATCCGTCTATCTCCATCTCTCAGAGCCACCCTCACAATCAGAAATGGAAAATCAACCAAATCAACCAACGAGGGTTAGTTTTTTTAATTATTTTCTTTTTGAAATTTTTGCATTATTATTAGGTTTTTCATATTGAAATTGATGATAACTTTACTGGTAATTTCAATAATAGATTAACCATTTCACTTAGATTGCTTATTATTAACCGAGAATCGCAACGCGAAATGAAAATCGCAACGCGATTTTAGTTTCGCGTTGCGATTCTCTCGTTGCGATAGTCAAATTCGCGTTGCGATAGTCAAATTCGCGTTGCGATAGTCATTTTCGTGTTGCGATTTTCATTTTCAGAAACTATTCTTCTTCTGCAAATTGAAACTTGAATGAATTGCATTACTTCAACCAAAAAACAAAGACAAATAAGAAATTCACAGTGTTGCAAATTTAAGTTTGAAGAATAAACTACTACTCTTTATGTTTATTATTGTTTTTGGTATATCTTCACAGTGCAGTTTTTGGTATATCTAACTTAGTATGTTTATTGTTTTTGTAGAACTTTTATTCGGCTCAATTAACCTTAAGAAATAAAGTCAGCCTGGCAAAAACAATTGCGTCGAAGCTTTCACCTGCACAAAGAAAAATGTTTGAGGATACTTGCTTCGGGCCATGGCTGAAAGTACAACATCCCGGTGGAGATGCGATGTTGACACACCTATTTCTTCAAACCATGACTAGGGATCTACCAGATACTATACAACGTCGTGATGAAGAGATATGGTTTGATTTTCCACCGACGTATACGTGTTTTGGGCGGGAGGAGTTTTGCTTAATCACCGGTCTACGCTTCGGACACGATGATGTAGGTCGGTACACTATACATATTACCCGCCCATCATGGTTATCCCGGGTTTTTCCTGATATGGAGAGGCCGAATCTACACGTGGAAGACCTGACGATATTATTGAATAAGAAAGATGGTTTTACTCGGATGGATGACGTCGACGTTGTCCGAGTATGCCTTCTAATTCTTTTGCATGTCGGCTTTTTAGGCAGAGAGGCCAGACAACCTATTCCAAATGATCTAATCAAATTGGTGTAAGACCTAAATGCGTGGAACCTGTTTCCGTGGGGCTCGTATTTATGGAAAGCTACATGGAATAAGTTATCGTCTGCCTTGGACGATCGAAAAAGTTTGCATGGCGATGGTTCCAAATACACTTTGACAGGCTTTATTTGGGCCTTTAAGGTAAGAATTTTTATATAATGTTTCCAAAATTATAAGTAATTATTTAACAATTACTAATGTTTGTTATTATATTGTTTGTAGATTTGGATATTTGAGGCCTTTCCCGCCATGAAGACATATGCAATAAAAACTTCAAATAATATTCCCAGGGCTATTTCCTGGAAGAGGAAACGGACCTTGCAATGGGAAGATTTACTACGGTATACGACAATAAATAATGTAAGTTAACATAAATACTACCATATGTTTATAAACAAGTTATTACTAGTATACGTTTAACTTTGTTTGAGCTTTTATATTGTTAGGAGGCCAACACTCCTCTATAGAGGCTGACACCCACGGAAGCTGAGCTTGCCACTGATTGGTGGTAAGCTAGAAAGCGTTTTTTTGATGGAACGGTTGATGAGCAGCCTCCACTTCGAGAGCCATCACCTCGCCCAGAGCTATCACCTCACCCAGAGTCATCATCTGATCGACCCGGCTATACACCTCCATAACGACAGCCATCACATATTCTGTCACATCATCGAGCCTCTTCTCCACCATCACCGCAAGATAGGCGACCGGCAAAGATGCCACGACGTTTATCTCCCTGTTCTCCACCTCCACCTCAACGGGATGAGTTAGGGGAGTTACTTGATGAGGTCAATGCCTTGCGTGAGGAGGTCGATACTTTACGCAAAGACGATGGTGCATGACGTGTTGAGGTGTCTACATTACGCGTTGAAGTAGCCACTCTACGTGAGATGGTAGCATCGTTGCAGAATGAGGTTCATACTCTACGCAACGAGGTAAGATTAAGATTTTTCATACTCGTAATTCATTCGGTTGCTGCTAATACTGCTAAACTGTTTTTGTTAGTATTGGTTTTTGGTTTTGTTTTTGTCTTTTGGTTGAAGTAATGCAATCCATTCAAGTTTCAATTTGCATAAGAAGAATAGTTTACTTTCGCAACACGGAAATGGCTATCGCAATGCGAAATGAAAATCGCAACGACAAAATCGCAGTACGAAATGAAATCGCAACGCGAAATGAAAATCGCAATGCGATTTGTGTTTCGCGTTGCGATTTTGTCGTTGCGATTTCATTTTGCATTGCGATTTTGTCGTTGCGATTTTTATTTCGCATTGCGATAGCCATTTCCGCGTTGCGATAGTCATTTTCGTGTTGCGCTTTTAAGTTTCGTGTTACGAAAGTAAACTATTCTTCTTCTGGAATGTTTATATATGTTGTCCTTTTAAATGTTTATATAAGTGCTTACTTCTGGAATGTTATCTGAGCATTTTGTGAACTATGATAGAATAATGACTTGGGTGAATACAATGCTAGTTTGAAACATATTTGTCTTTGTTTAATATCATGTATGTTTATTTACTGATTTATGTATTAATTTTTTTTAGCGACCCGATAAGGTGGATGCTTTACGTCTGGTTTTCCTTGCACGACGGAGTTCACGCATCAGACGGCGTGGACGTGCTATTACGTCTTCGTTCAACCCAATGGTGCGAAGACTCCGCAAGAAGAAGCTCGACTCACCGGTCATCCCTCAAGAGTCCCCTTCAATCGTTCAAGAGGCCCCTATCCTCCCTCCCCCCCACCGTTCAAGAGGCCACTGTCATCGTTGAAGAGGTTCCTCCCACCATTCCAGAGCCCGATTCACATGGGGTAATATATCGAAGTATTGAGAAACCCCCACCGGTTCCGGAAATGATGGATGAGAGTTGGCTCTCGTATGAGTTACCGGCTAGTACCCTTCCGGTATCTGAAGTGGAGAGGAGACAACTACCGGAAACAATTGTGGATAATACCCTTTGGGCTAAGACCGCAGTTGATTTTTATCTACATGAGCGGGCCAAGGGTGTTACACTGACATCAGCAAACTCAACGATGAAATGTTTTTGTTGCTTGATCGGTCTTGGTGGGGTGTGCTATTAGGGGTTGAAGACAGTTGCTATTTGGATGGGGAGGTAAGTCTTATATTTGTCTTATATATGATTTTGATTAATTTGTTTAAAAATTAATGTAATTCACTAATATATGTATTTTTTTGTAAAACAGCATATCGATGCGTGGGTGTCACGTCTACTAATAATAAGGGAGCTTAGGAAAAATAAAAAAAATTCGCTATATACAATAATGCCGGCAACTTTTCACGCAGTTCACTTGAAGAATCAACGAGATGAATCATTTTCGTTGGGCAATGGACAAGCTAAACTTTATCCTGCATGGTGGGAGGTCGATAAGGTTAGTGTTTATTTTTTAAATTTTTTAAAGGTGTTCATAAATAAGTGCGCAAATAAATGAATTATTACTTATGATTGCAGGTGTTTATCCCTATTTTGGAACGTCGTCACTGGCTTCTCGTCCAACTTCAGCTCCCATCCCTGAAGATAATAGTGTATGACAGCATGATCAATTACATATCACTGTCTGATTTGAGAGATATTTTCAAGGGATGGAGCTCTC